TTATTTACAGTGGGTGCTAGCGCTAGCGATCACCAAGGCCGAAACATCCTCGCTCCCGATCCAGACCAGGAACTGGGAACCTCATTGTGCAGCTGTTTGACAGGGGAAGACAATACCCATTTAACATAAAACTTTAGAATGCTTTCAATACAGCCTTAGTAAAAGAGGAGGCAGAATGCTAGGCTGAAGGTTGAGGAGTTGAAGTATGGCTAACCCTGCCACGAAGCTGAAAACCCCTGGTCGTTCCAGTGAGAATTATCCAATTGCTGATGCTATTGGTGAAGCGCTTGAGACTTGGCAGCGCTCTTTCAATGGTCACCCCTCCCTGGAACTGTATCAGCCACAGGCGGCTATGCAACAGGGCGGACCTTATTCCGTGGTGATCTGCAAACCTCAATTATGCCTCTTTCAACGTGAATCAGCCTTGGAATCACAAAAACAATGTGAAGGCCCACACGGTAATGTTGTCCATGCTGCTTTGCAAGTATTCGTAGCCAATTCAGTGTTACATATAGATATCTTCAGCATGTACAAGTCACACGTCCTCACAACGCCAACATCAATCCGTCTCTTGGATATCAACGAGTCCAGAGACGGCATTGTTCGTTGCTCCATGCGGGTAGTCGACCTAAACGATGAGAGTATCGAATTCGCCGCCGTCTCATACACATGGGGCAACCCCACTACAGTTCATGAAGAACCCATGCCCGATATCGATGGCTTGGAATTCGAAGAACACGCCGATAAACTTCCTTTCACCTATTACAGCCCCGAACTGGGACCCGATGGCGAAAAACTGGTAATGGTTGATCGCGCCAAGCTTCTGTACTACGATATGCATCGATATGTCCCCCATGAAGAGGTGCTTTGGCAAAAGCGCACGCACCATGAAATAGAAGTTGATGGGAGTCGAGTACCGATCGAAGAAAACCTCTTATCGTTCTTTCAATCAGTCTTGAAACTTCGTGCTGTGATTGCTCCAAACCCAGGCGAACCGGAGAGCTCGACTTACCGCTCCATCAATATGCCCATCTGGGCTGATGCACTGTGTATCAACCAAGCAGACCTCGACGAGCGAGCTGCCCAAGTCAAGCTTATGGGGCGCTTATACAAGTCAGCGAGTATAGTACTTGCTTGGGTCGGCCAATATGACAGGCTTGCAGAACTAGCGATACAGGCAATGGGTAGAATTCTTGATTTCGACGCAACTCGCCTACACGCACAAGACTCATCATACCAAGAACAAGAGGAAGTCACCATGTCCTCAGTGCCGGGGATGACAGTGATGCATTGGTTCGCCCTATTCTCTCTCTTCCAACGACTCTGGTTCCGTAGGGCTTGGGTCGTTCAGGAGGCAGTCTTTGCTCGGGATATCTTGATGGTTTGCGGCGCGACGCTGCAAAGTATGGACTTCGTCTTAGCGGTTGCTGGATTTCTGGAACAGACGGGAATCGATATTGAGTTATGCCAGTTTGGGCATAACTTCCTCACTAATCGAGCTGTATCAGACCAGTCTCAACATTGGGAGAAATTGTCGTTGCTCTCTGGACAGCCAGCGAGGGCGGCAAATGAGTTAAAGGTGACTCCGCGCGATGCTCTTTCTTTTATCCTTGGATACCATCATACTCGCTCGCGTCTTGGGCTCTGCAACGCTGGCCTGCCTATGGTCACCCTGCTTCCAGACGAAGAAGGGGAAGACGGGAAAACTAAGGGCAAATCATGTCGATGGGCCGTAGAACTTCCCGAAGTTACCCACCTCATCGATCACGATATAGTGGAATCTTTCTGCGAGGAACTGGGTCTGCCTGGCTTCAGATTTGAACGCCGAAAGCTTCACCTGCTTTCTGTGCTCTCCGACTTTAGGGAGCTTGAAGCTACTGATCCCCGAGACAAGATCTTCGCTTTTCTGAACCTTGCCGAGGACGGTCTCGGACTGCAGCCAGACTACAGTGCCGACGTCAAAGAGGTCTTCATACAAGCAACAAAGACCATGATTGACAAACGCATTGGTTCGCACCTTGCGGTTCTCTCCCATGTGCAAGACCTTTCAGACACCAGGATCCAGGGCTTACCAAGTTGGGTGCCAGACTTTAGTGCCAGACTGGGCCGGGTTCCGCTCGACCAAGGTGGGCATGATGATCGTTTCTGCGCCGGCACTCATGACGATATTGATTATGACGACTGGGTAATTCATATTGATCCCGGTGATAAGCTAAGTGTCAAGGGCATCAAGGTGGATACTGTCTCTATATCCACAGAGTTGAATCAAGACCCTGTCATCCAGGCTCTTCGACTGGCATTGCATAGTCCGGCCGAATATCCTGTTCAAGTAAGAGCATGGCGTGTCGAGGAGACTGGACATAATCGCTCAAGACGATGCATCCGCCCACTACAAACGGTGACCCGGGTTGAAGCCCTATGGCGCACTCTGATCATTGATAAACTGACCGAGGAGGAGAACGACTTCGGCAGTTTGGACTCAAGAGTGAACATAGGGACGGGCTTCAGCAACTGGATTTTGACTGATATCCTAGAAGCTCGCGACTTGCTTGCTGAGTGGTCAGGACATTGCTCGGTATCATGGACATGGGAACTGATTCAGAAGTCATTCACTACTCGCTTGGCTCTTTGGTCGGCCATTTATGACGCACGGCAGGTGTCCAATGAACTGCAGGTGCCAGATCTCGAAGGAGCTATAGCTGATTTCAGGGAAAAGGTAGAAAAGGAGGTAGGACAGCCAGACGACGATGTAGAGGATGAAGAGGAAGTAAGGTATCAAGACCAAAAGTTGGCACAAGAAGCAGATCAGGAGGAGGAGAGGAATCATGGAGAAGGGGAAGGGGAATCATTTGAGAAAGGAAGATTTGACAGAAAAGCTCAGGGAGCAGGCAACACTTCGCGGGAAACAGGATTTTTACCCGCAGCACGGCTCATCAGCGAAGGCTTTCGAGCTCCTGCGGTGGTACAAGACGAACAAGATAAGGACCCGTTGGGGGGCAAGTATAAACGACCTTCGATGCAACGACTGACTCCACTGGGACGGAGGAAGCTCCGCAACTTCGAGAAGCACATGCGGAATGCTACTCAGGGTCGGAAACTCTTCATGACGGAGTCGGGGCTGTTTGGCCTGGGACCCAAGGCTCTTGGCCAGAGTAGCAGCAAGGATGAAGTATGGATTTTGATGGGGGCTCGAGTGCCCTTTATTCTACATCATATCGAAGGTTCCAAGTACCGCGTTGTTGGAGAGGCTTATGTTCATGGAGTGATGTATGGCGAAGGGTATGATCGTTACACTGGCTGGGACGAGTTTGGGCGTAGTGGCGTGGATACGATACAGTTAGTTTAGAGACAAGGAGGTCACAAAATAAGGCAGTCTAGATGACTCAAAGATATTATTGGGGATAAATATACTATACATAATTTTGAATCGAATATTATGATCGTCGCACCAAAACAACTCATGATTCTTGAGCAATGATGTTGACAGGGGTATAGCCACCCGGGCTACCACTGGATATATACAAGTAGGTACCAGCGCCTGTCCGGGTCTGGTAGTAAAACTGATCATTCACCTGACCATCCACGGTGGTGCAGCCTAGGGGTAAGCCGTCGTCATCAGTTGGGCACGCAGCTTTGGGTGCAGTACAAGAGAGGCTGCCGCTGACGATTTGGCAAGTCAAGTAATCGTAGGCCAGGTTGGGCCCAGTGTTACCATTCTGGCAAAATGCAAAGTAGGCAGGGTCAGAGATTGTTTCTGCATCGGCGTAGTATGCGCATATCTGAACTCCTGTGTCTTTATCCCGCAGTCGGCCTGTGCTGGGGTCGAGGATGATTGTCCTGGTACGGCTGTTTCCGGTCTGAGGATTGAATAGCAGGATGCTACCATCTTGGTCGACGCCTTGGAGGGGCGCGCCTTGTACAGCACCACCGCCGCCGACAATGGTGAATGTAGGGGTGGCGACGGCGGTGGTGGTCGTGCTCTCGGCCTCGGCTGTCGTAGTGGTAGATTCCGCAGCCGTTGTTGTCTCAGCCTCAGCCGTTGTGGTGGTAACTTCGGCCGCGGTGGTTGTCTCAACTTGGGATGTTGTAGTAGTGTCTGGCGCGGTTGTGATAGTAGTGCCAGTCTCGACAGATGTTTCAGATAATGAAACGGTGGATGATCCTTCGGCGGTTGTCGTGGGCTGTGTTGTCGAAGCGATTGAGGTTGAGATTATGGTCTCCGAAGCTAAATAGAAAACCACGATTAGCAATTTTCCAGCCTTGTTTCAGCATGCTCTCCTTGTAGACATACTGGAGGACCTGGGCTTGCATGGACCGGCAAGCGCAGAGTCTGCGACAAGAAGGCCAATGGCCAACATCAAGACGTTGGATCGCATCCTCGGCACGATGATAATTCGCAAACGATTGACTGAGGTGAGTGACGAATCAGAAAACAGAGGACAAAAGAAATGCAAAAAAGATCAAAGGAGATGGCTAGTGTATATGTGTATATTGTTTCGTGGTGTTGATTACGATCGTCTCATCTCCCTCAAATCAATAGTTTGCTCTAGCGCGCCACAAGATCAGGAGAAAGAACTTTGTGCTCAACAATAATTGGCTGCTCCGCGACAACACCCCAGGCACCGCTCGGAAACGGGCTTAGCTTGGCCCCAATGGAAAAGCCTGTTGCCCACTACGGCCACGTCGGCAATCTTCGAACGATGGAGCTTTACTGTAACGGTTGGCGATCCAATAACCCCAGGTCACTATTATTCGTTACCAGACGATGTAAGGGGATATTACTCTATTAAAGTTCAATCAACAATATGGTTGGCCGATAGCGTATACCAGCATAGAGAACTAAGCAAACATGCGGATTTTCCCACTCAATAGATTATAAAGTCATCTTCCTCTCCATGTGCAAGAGGATCGAAACCGGCGGACTGTCACCTCATAGCTAGAAACTCTCGACTAATGAGGCTACCATAGAGGGAATGTTTACATAATATCTGGCTCTAAACTCATACTTCTTCCTCTTGGTCCTCCCCAACTGGCCAGTCGGGCTGATGCACCATCGCCATGACGAGTCCCGGCTTATCGGAAGTGATACCAAGATGAGTCTCCAGGCCCATCCGCCAAGTAGATGGGTAGAACTGGCGATTCTGGAACATAAACATGGATCCGATGAGATGGAACTTGTTGGGCTTCGGTCCATCATCCGTTGAAACCTCGTGACGAACCACATCATACCAGCTGTGATCTACCAGCCTTTGGATGACAGCTGCATTATCATGAGGCCGGAGAACATCTGGGTTGGCGAGTTTCTCTAGACGTTCGAGCCAGGCTTCTTGTGTAAGGTTCCTGCCCAGCTCAATACCATGACCCATGCCATCTCGACAAGGCTTATATATATAGTTATTCCTGACGTTGGGGTCGGATTTTGACTCAAGTAGCAGTTTTTGCAGCCCCTTTGAGCCAGGGTTGATGGTTTGAACGATCCCATCAGCAACAAGGTCGGCCTCCTCAGCCGTCAACACACCACGTGAAACCATATTCGGAAGCTCTTCAGGTATGATGCCAAGGAGTCGTTTGTCATGCACGATGAATACAGTTCGAAGATCATTGAGAGGCGTCATGGACAGTTGGCGAGCGACAGCTGGTTCCAGTTCGGCATACTCTTCCTGCAGCATCTCAACAAGCCACTGTCCCAAGAGCCTGTTCGCCGCCTTATCCCAGAGAGCTAATCCAGTTGGAGAAGTTTCATCAGGGCGAACTTCCAGGTCTTGAGGACGAACTGCTTCGACTGCTGGCCTTCCGCGTGCGACATTGACAGCTGAGAGGATCTTCGAGTCAGCGCCAGGCCACTTATCTCTGATAGAGTAAAGAGGCTTATCGGGATTGAATAATGCCATAAGGTTGTTATAAGATGTCTAAATTTTGGCAGATTGTTAGCTTCAGAATACGACGCAGAAGTAGTCGCAGCACTCACATCCATACTATTCACAGGCTCAAGTCCTCCCTTACTCGCACCAAGTTCCCGAAGGCCATTTTCACCCAGAGCAATTCCCATAACGGCATTTAGAGGAAGCCTTCCGTTAATTTCGCATACATACGGTGACTCGTCACGCAAACCGTCTGGGCTGCGACCAAATAGTAAGTCGCTTCGCCAGCAACCAGCATGCTCGGCATAGTCTGGAACGCAGCCACTAGACGCTACCCATCGGAGGAGCTCCTCTTCCGACGGATCCAATGGCATACGCTCCGGAAAGCGTGCCTTCTCGTCTGTAAACCAGCGGGCCACGATATCGACAAAAACACGGCCAAGGAGAATATGAAGTTGCTCCAGCCGTGAGAACAGAGGATCCGACACCGCAACGGCATGTGGCGAGATGCGTTCCATGATTCCGAAAGATAATTCACCACCTTTGGCGTCGGCGTAAAGATGCTTACGAAAAGTCTCAAGCTCTCTAGCCCGACGAGCAAGGTTGCTGCAATATGCAGGGATCAACCGCTGCTCTTCGGCACTTCGGGAGACCGAGACTTGCATGAGCCCCGGCCGTTTGGCAGCCATGGCGGGCATCTTTGTTTCACTTTTGAATGTTCTTCTAAAGAATTGCACCGTATAGTAATTAGGAGAAATTTAGAGCGCTGAAATGCCGTCTGCGATGCTTATAACTTATACAGACCCCTGTCAGTCTTGATATGACAAGAAAGGGCGCGTGCGACACCACCTACCTATTCTAGCCTTATTCTGTCTCCACGATAAGCAGCGTATTACGCTGGGAGAGGCTGTTCTGAGAAGGATGACTGTAGTCAGAATTTAGAGCGTAAGCGATTACGCTGCCACGAACTCCTTCGGACTTGTCAAGGAGCCCGGTTTAATACGCCAATGACGGCAAATAGTGTGTCTGACTCCTTGGTAGCTCAATGGAGTCATCATTTTAGCTTTGAGGGAGAGGCCGAAGGTTTAGTGACTGCTCACAATCCCTCCTATCGCATCATTAATCAACCTGCCAAGATCTTCTCCGTGTAAGCCCTAAAACCTCACGGCTAATGCAGGTTGCTCCTACAGACACTCTTCTTGGTAGCTTGACACTTTTGTTTCATCATGTGATCGGATGTGATGCAGCGGTCGTTTTCTGAGCAGTAGATAAGGATCTCAAAGATAAAAGACCCTCACTAGAGCCTTGCCTTCTACCATCTTCGTGTCTTCCTCGTTCACTTTAGAATATTACATACTCTTGAAGGTAAGTCTCAACAGTTTCCAACCAAGAGAGTTAAATTACATGGGGTACCTTATATTGATAAGTTGAACTTGTACTAGACAACGACAACCTTGGGACTGACTTTGGAACTTGAACTTCCCAGTATATATGATGCCATATGCATTCAGAGTTTGCCTTTTTGCTAGACAAGTTCGATGAAGTTCTGTTCTTGATCTTAATAACACTTCTGAAGTCGGCGTACCCGTTCGCCACGCCACGCAGAAATGCATAGATCTGCCTCCTACAACACTCAATCCTGCGCCATACGACAGCTTCACTGGCTGATCAAGAAATCCAGTGGCAATTGGACAGGATCGTATTTATGTGAGGGGGTTCTGAGCATCTCGCATCGCATAGTGAGATATCCCACCAATCGGACCTTGCATTCCGTGACATACGACATCCGGTTAATGTAATTGAAGTGGAGGCATTTTGCCGCGAGAGAATCTAGATATAAATCAAGAATAATGCCCTCTACCTCTTACCTTGGATGTTTGGCCAATACACATTTGTATAACGGCTGTCACTCTTGTTCGTCGAGATGAAGATTTTCGATCAATGCCTTTTCCTGGTAGCTGGCCTGTCTGAAGCTCTTGCTAGTCCTGTTGCCTCGATGGCTGCCCAGACTACGAAGAATCTTATCGTATTGTATGTGTTGCTGGCAGGAAGAATCAGCTCAGACTAAGAAATGGTAGTGGTGATTCTTACTCAACCGTGGGTTTCTGGCCTGGAGGACAACTACCATCGGCTTCCAACCCTATCGGGAACCCCGGGCTGCCAGGGCAGACGACTTCTGCTGGTCTCAACTGGGTCGGCCATGTCACGTCAACTCTCAATACGTCACTGATTCTCACATACGACTTTGCCTACAGCGGAGCGACTGTCGACAAGAAGATCGTCAACTCATGGGCCCAGTACTCGATGTCGGACCAGGTGGACCTCTATAAGCAATATGTTGCGCCTAAGATCACAAAGGTCGACACCCTCGTCGCATTCTGGATTGGTATCAACGACGTGGGTGAGGCGTTTTGGAGCAAGAAGAGTGCTCTTGTTACCGAGTGCATAAACAGATATTTTGAGCTACTGCAGGTTCTTGTCAATGATGGCTACAGCAAATTCGTCTTGCTGAGTATTCCTGGTAAGCCCCAATCGTTTAGGAGAAGAAAGTTGAGTTGTCTGACTCTTGATGAAGCATATGCAGATCAGTTCCCCAAGATGATAGGTCAGCCGGAAGTTGATCTGGCTCGCCTAAGATCCGACATCATTTCCTACAACAACGCGGTCAAAGCCAAGGCAGCAAGCTTCATATCCTCTCATCCAAATGTCAAAATTCAGATCTTCGATACAAAGCCTTCATTTGACCAGGTTGTCAATAATTACGCGGCTTACGGAGCCAAAGATGCTACTTGCTTCGGCGCAAGTAACTGTCTTTGGGCAGATGACTACCATGCCAGTGGTGCCATCCACAAGCTCTTAGCCCAGAACTTGGTGAAGGCAGTGAAAGGAGTTTTTGTCTTCTAGGGCAGCATGGAGGTGGGATCATTGCAAAGTGTACAAATTCATGTATTCGAATCTCACTCTCTTCAGCCGTCTGGCAGACATTTATTTCGATATGAGTGATCCTCGGTGGTTCCTTCGAATTTACTGCTTACTTCCAATTTCCATACTGGCAACAGTCTTTTCTGTCTCCAGTGCTGTCGACTTAATCTTTCTCAGTACGCTCATGGGTATTGAGGATCATTAGGATTGTCGGCCGGAAGATGAGACAAACATAGTTGCGGAGTATGCTTTTTGAACTGTTTCTGTCGTTCTGTGCGGAAATTCTCGATCAGCACCCTTGGGTCGGCATCAAGTCTCGCCACAGGTAGCGCTTCCAAGGAGAATAGCCAGAATCCAAACGCCGGCGTCACACCCTGTCTGGATATCTTCTCAACGTCCACCTCGCTGTCTTCTTTTAAAATTTGGTCCAGAATGCGTTTTCTTTCCTCCATTTCATTCTCAGCAAGGGCGATTGCATCCTCTCTGTTGTATACTGCCTGAACTGACATTGAAAGGGTGCTATTTGGAGTTGATAAGCCTGACGACTGATCGCCCAGGTCAGGCGCCCAGCGCTCATTCTCTCTAGCAATGATCTCTGGATCACAATCTGGGTAGCTTATCATGAACTGGTAGAGAAGTGTATGGTCGTTATTAATTCCCCATTCTTCAAGATGTTCGAACCAATCGGCCACAATATTTGATAAATTCATCAATTCGTCGGGATCTACGCCATCAAGAAAGTCGCCCACGGCCCTGGGATCGTGCTCCATAGTCTGAAATACAGGGACGTGTGGTTTGACAGGCACAAAAGGGCTGCTGGCAATGCCACGGTCAGGTCTTTGGCGATTTTCGGGGTATTGGCAGGTTTCAGAATCATACACGCCTACGAAGATGAATCTTTTCAACCGCTGGATTGCCGCTTTGACTTTTTCCAAGTCACAGTCTGTTTTGAACGAGCTGGTGGAATAATGATATCTACAACAGCTCGCATAGGTCTGCAGAGCCAAGTTGACATTGCCGACGTGGAGTGGATCAAGTCTCCATATATGATGTGAGAGTTCTGGGAAATAACTCCACACGGAAACGTGTATAATGTCGAGCTCTGGGTTAAAGTAAAAGATCCCATCGTAGGTGCTGGTCGCATGGACATATGTGCAGGGGATATGAACACGGTAGAATCTTTTGGCGGCGGCACGAGATTCGCGGTTGGTAACAAAGAGCTTGCTCATGGCGATGCGCTCTCTAAGTTCGATGCGGCATTCCTCGCTATAAACTTTGAGGATTCTTTCGTGGGTTACGGATTGTATCCAGATCTTATTGCGAACCTCAGGAGGAAACTTGCTGAATTGCGGGAAGCTGGCAGTGCTTAGCATTGCCGGATTGAGAATTTGAACCTCTTCATCAGAACTGGACGAGAGTGCATCTTCTGTATCTTTTCCCATGGAAGTGGTCATCTTGCTTCTGTTACCTAGGCGGGGTTCCCACGAGTGATTGAGCTAGGTATGAGAGACATGTGGTGCTTATATAGCGACCTGAAAAACAAAAGCTGGCTATTGTGGCTTCAAATGTTCCAGCCCACAAGGTTTGTAAAGTGAGAGGTGGAGATAAACCTTAAGCCAAAAGCCTCGAAGTTACAAATACTTCGTGATTGGAACCCGTTTGAACTTAAGGTCAGAAGATCACGGTCTGACGCGGTAGGGACTGCCAATGATTGTTGGATAATTAAATTGTTCTATCTTGTATAAATAAGTGTTGAAATGCCTCACAAGCCCCCTCTTCTATAAGCTCAAACTTCTAAATAAATTTGTATGACACTCTCCCCCGTCTATTAATGGCTGGCAAAAGCACTTGTCTTAACCCACTGTTCCATCGTCTTCGCCCCAGGGTTCAGCTGTCGAACTTTGGCCAAATCAGCACCGTAACCTTCATCTCTGAACCAATTGACCATGATTCCGAGCTCGGCAACGCCATGCTTCAAAGCTTTTCCGAGCAAACCAAATGTCGTACCAGCAGGCCCGCCAGTGGCGTGCTCAAAAGCTTCGCTGAGTTGCGCGAATGTGAGCTCATCGCCAGCTAGGCTGATAGCTTGCTTGCCCCAGGCTTGTGGGTCAGTGAAAGCTTCAGCAGCGAAGAAGCCGATGTCCTCAGTTGCTGTCCACTGAAGAGGCTTGTTCTTGAGAGTGTCACGAATCATGGTGAGGAAGACCTTTGTGGCGAAGCCGGGTTCTAGATTTTCCATGAATGCTGTTGGGCGTAGGATGGTCCAGTTCATCGAGCTCTTTCCGTTGGCGGTTGAGTCGCGAAGGTAATGCTCGATCTCGTGCTTCGTCTTGAAGTGAGGGACAACAGTGGCGTCCTTCCAAGACTTCTCGTCGCCGCCACGGTCAACGCTGGAGTAGACAAAATGTTTAATGCCAGCCTTGATAGATTCGTCGATGAGACCCTTTCCTTGTCGGACTTCACCCTCGAGTGTAACACCCTTGCCCATGGACAGTTGCACTGAGTAGACGCCCCAGAGAGGCACAGTCCCGGCAGCTTGCTTAGCGGCACTGAAGAGAGCGGGGATTGAGTCGAGGTCGCCCTCAATCAGCCTGATATTGGAGGACTTGGAGGCTAGCTTCTTTGCGGAAGGTGACTCCTTGTTACGGGTGGCAGCCAGAAGAAGGAAGTCTGCGTTCTTTGCGATGAGAGCATTGATGACAGAGCTGCCTTGCTTGCCGGTGGCGCCGGTGATGAGAAGAGCACGAGACATTGTTGTGATTTTGGAGTGATGAAAGTATCAAGGTGAATTATGTTCAAATGGAGTTGATTGGTTGTCGATGATGGTGTTTGATGATTGTTGAGAGTATTGGTTGTTGTTGATGTTGAGATTAATTGAAGCAGGCCATGATGGGCTATATATGTATTCAATTCTCTACACTAGTCAAGTCCAATCGCGAAACAAGATTCAAAACCTTAACAAACTCCATCGACGATTTCTAACATGCTTGCTAAGAATGGACTATGTCGGATTTCCATGTCTCGAAGAGCGAGGTAGATGGAAAAGACAGTGGACATTTCGGAGATGCGACAGATGCCGATTAAGATAGGGCTAAACTGCTTTGGGGCTAGCAGCCTCGTGAAGCTCACTGGCCAATCACTCAACTTCGCATAATCTACGGATGACTGTGAACCTTGTATGTCTCTATCGCGAGACACTCAGATCTAAATTGTATCTATACGCAATCATAAGTACTCTCTGTTAGCAGCCCTGGCTACCCCGCTTTGGGAGGATCATCAATCCCACCAATCGAACACCGCGCGCGTGAAAGGCCCCGCCCGGTCAATGCCAAGACACCGAGGGGCCAATGATGGAAAGAATGGAATTCCGCATCCTTTCGCTGCCGCATAAGCAACCTACCCTATGAGGTTGGTGATGCTGTATGTCAGCAACTAGACAGTTTGTTGTTAATCCTTCAGATTGTAAAGCAATTGCACCATAGACAGAGTTAGATTAGTTGATTCGAATTGATATATCATTTGAATCAAGATGAGCTATATAATAAACCATTGTTCCGACTATCATGGACTATCATTCCATCATCACACATCGCACTTTACAATTGAGTACCTTCAAACACTTTGACTACTATCTTCTCATCATCGCCAGTCCGCCATAACAATATTGAATAAATTTTCCGATTAGTACTATCATCCCAATTATGCCTCATCTCGCCGCTCAAGTCCCCGCCGCCAAGGCCCCTCTCGAGGTCCGAGAAATCGACACTCCCGAGCCTGGACCCAATGAACTCCTCGTCAAGAACCAGATCATCGCCATCCAGCCAATCGACGCCAAGATCGCCAAGGTCGCCATGCTTCCCCTTCCATACCCAGCTGTCCTCGGCAGTTCCTTCGCCGGCACTGTCGAGAAGGTTGGTTCAGACGTCAAAGACTTCAAGGTCGGTGACAAGGTTGTTGGCATGAAGACCGCTGGAGCTAGTGATAGCAAGTACAGTGCTTTCCAAGAGTACTCTATCTCATCGGATGTCACCACCACAAAGGTTGATGATGACGAAACCATGGATCTTGCTGTCCGCCTTGTTGGTAACCTTCCTACCATCCCTGCCATCTTCAACTATACCCTCAAGCTGGAGCGACCTGTCCCTGGTCAGGAGCCCAAGTCTCAGGGAAAGCGCATCTTGATCTACGGCGGAACCTCCAGTATCGGAAGCATGACTGTCCAATATCTCACCCAAGCCGGATACGAAGTCATCACTACTACCTCGCCCAAGCACAAGGAGTTTGTGTCCAAGCTCGGTGCTTCAAAGATTATTGACCATTCTCAAGAATCTGAGGCCCTCACTAAGGACTTCATCGCCGCTGGCCCCTACGATATCGTTCTTGACACAATCTCAACCGGAGCTACAGTCAAGCTTCTCGCAGACGTTGTCGCGGCTCAAGGCGGCGACTCAGTCTATGCCCTCCAGCCACCCTTTGGTCCCGAGACTCTCCCCACTGGTGTCACACGCAAGTTCGAGGGCTGGTCTCTGCTACTCGGTAAGGAGGAGAATGCAGAGCTGCTGAAGTGGATCTTTGGCACATATTTCCCCAAGGCGCTTGCTACCAAGAGTCTTATTTCTGTGCCTGCTCGAAAGGTTCCTGGTGGACTTGGTGGAATCAATGATGCTTTGGGTCTTTTGTTTCCTAAGGGTGTCAGCAGTGAGAAGGTTGTGGTTGACCTTCGGGATTAATTTTGGTCTCTCTTTATGTCTCATTTAGCCGCAGAAGCTACATCTAATAATAGTCTAGACAGCGATTGATCTAATGGAGAGAAGTTTGTTTCATCGCATGATCGTCTGAATGGAAACGGCACACTTTCGGAATGTCGTCCCGTCTTCCAACTCTTTGCTATGAGCTTCTGCAGATCATTGAGCGAGAAAACCATATCTACTAATCTAGCCAAGTTCACTGTTCCGATGACGGCTTTTACCATCCGTTTCCAGAATGACGCCAACCATGCAATGTTGAGAATGCTACCCAACACACCCTAGGTTACCCCATCTTGTCGATGTGACGTGTTGGCTACTCATATTGGCCAAGGCAAATCTTGTTCCATGTCCCGAGTTTGGCATATTCGGAGCCATTTGCCGAAGTTGCTCCTTATGGCCAGGGTCCGAGCTTGGCATGCCTGATAGTACTGGGACTAGGTACTTCCGATTCGCGTTTTTATAAGTTCCTTGATCTGCATGTTTTGAGGGACAGCAGTGATTCAGGTTTCCCTGTTTTGCAAAAATGAAGTTATCTTCGCTTGCTACTTTGGCGGCCTCTTTTTCCCCAGCGGTTGCTGGCTTGGTTAGACACCCTCGCGCCACCACCTTCAATAATCCAATCATCTACTCAGATTTCCCTGATAACGATGTATTCCTCGGTCCGGATAACTACTATTATTTTTCGGCTTCCAACTTCCATTTCAGCCCTGGAGCCCCCGTTTTGAAGTCCAAAGATCTGCTCAACTGGGATCTCATCGGCCATTCAATTCCCCGCCTGAACTTTGGTGACGGCTATGATCTTCCTCCTAGCGGCTCACGCTCCTACCGTGGGGGAACTTGGGCGTCATCCCTTAGATACAGAAAGAGCAATGGACAGTGGTACTGGATCGGCTGCATCAACTTCTGGCAGACCTGGGTATATACCGCCTCATCACCCGAAGGTCCTTGGTACAACAAGGGGAATTTGGGCGATAACAATTGCTACTACGACAATGGTATACTGATCGACGACGACGACACTATGTATGTAGTATACGGCTCCGGTGAGGTCAAAGTATCTCAGCTGTCCCAGGACGGATTCAGCCAGGTCAAATCCCAGGTAGTTCTCAAGAACACTGATATTGGTGTCCAGGACTTGGAGGGCAACCGTATGTACAAGATTAACGGGCTCTACTACATCCTAAACGATAGCCCAAGTGGTAGTCAGACCTGGATTTGGAAGTCGAAATCACCCTGGGGCCCGTATGAGTCCAAGGTCCTCGCCGACAAGGTCACCCCGCCCATCTCAGGCGGTAACTCGCCTCATCAGGGTAGTCTCATCAAGACACCCAGTGGTGACTGGTACTTTATGTCATTCACTTGGGCCTATCCTGCTGGCCGTCTTCCGGTCCTTGCACCGATTACGTGGGGTAGCGATGGTTTCCCCATTCTTGTCAAGGGTGCTAATGGCGGATGGGGATCATCTTACTCAACGCTTCCTGGCACGAACGGTGTGACAAAGAACTGGACAAGGATTGACACCTTCCGCGGAACTTCACTTGCTCCGTCTTGGGAGTGGAATCACAACCCGGACGTCAACTCCTTCACTGTCAACAACGGCTTAACCCTCCGCACTGCTAGCGTCACAAAGGATATCTACCAGGCGAGGAACACGCTATCTCACCGAACTCATGGCGATCATCCAACCGGAATAGTAAAGATTGATTTCTCTCAGATGAAAGACGGCGACCGGGCCGGACTTTCAGCGTTTCGAGACCAAAGTGCATACATTGGTGTTCACCGAGATAATGGAAAGTTCACAATCGCTACGAAGCATGGGATGAATATGGATGAATGGAATGGGACAACAACAGATCTGGGACAATCAAAGGCCACTGCTGATGTGCCTTCTGGAAAGACCAAGATCTGGCTGAGACTTCAGCTTGATACCAACCCAGCCGGAACTGGCAACACGGTCTTTTCTTACAGCTGGGATGGCGTCAAGTATGAGACACTTGGCCCCAACTTCAAGCTATACAATGGCTGGGCATTTTTTATTGCTTACCGATTTGGTATCTTCAACTACGCCGAGACCGCTTTGGGAGGCTCGATCAAAGTTGAGTCCTTCACAGCTGCATAAAAGGATAGGAGCATGTTGAGTGGGGATATAGTCTTGGGGTATAACTGAGATAGTACAAACTGTGTTTTAGACTCCTTAACTCCGAACAATGACACCATACTATCGACAAGACAATCTTCATCGACGACCCTTGGACAGCCAAAGAAACCAAGACTCGAGATGGCTGGGCACCAATATGAAAGGTGACCAGATAAGCTTTAAGAACTCCAACTCCCTTTCGACAGTACAGTGACTTTAAAATGACAGCGGGGTATATAGAAAATAGGAAACATTGAAGCTGGGAATGAAAATTTAGCCACATTCATCTGAAAAAGCGAGAACAAGCCAACCTTCTTTATCCGGCTATCAGTAATTCATCACATTTTTTCTTCCTATCTTCCATCATCTATCTGCCTTGGGGCGGGTTGCTATGTGAATAGCCTGCAGTGTAGACCAATCGATCGGTGACAGGACGTGCTTGCGTATCATAGATATATCGGTTCATATTGTAGGAAGTTGGTTGATTCGCGCCGTCTCGTGTCTGTGCTCTTGATCATTTGTCAGTACTATATGGGAATATCGAGATTGTGGATGAAAACCTACGAGTTTAGAAAGCTCCCAGCCACTGCGACGGTAGAGGTGTTGGTTGCCGAAGCACCTGATGGAGTATTTCCAGAAGGGGTGGACATTTTGGAGATGTAAGTAGTATTTTTTGAGCTTTTGCGTCAGATTACAATGCCAAATGAATTAGAAAGTTCGTTGCATATTGGTGATGAATGGGCTTAAATACATGCAGAACCAGGGGAATCACCGGGAGCGACAAGACTCAGGAGTCCGAAATCAGGGCTTCTTTCAATCGGACGCACATACATAGCCGCACAAGCGTGCCAAATCTCTCAACAATGTGGTGGGGAGATTGATGCCTCATATTACTATAGGTCAACAAAGCAATTGTTTTGCTCGGAGTGTGTGCGGGTGCTGCCTCAACAGACATGAAGGAGGTCTAGATTTCCAGGACTTTGTCACAATTGTGATGAGGGGAGAAAGCAAAGCCGCGTGGCAGTAGACACAAAATCACAACTGTGACAAGCGTAGAGATAGCAGGAGACTGTGCATTGCATGGGGTCTGCAGGACTTTGTGTCCAAGTGGAAAAACCCCGCTCTGAAAGGTCAGGTTGCAGGCGTGAGATTGGTCGCCACGTCACAGTTTGAGGCCATCTTACAGGGATTAGGGTGACTTGAAATCACAAATGTGATGATTTCTGTCCAGTGACAAGTCTTTGTGTTATCACGCGACTGGTGGCTTTGTGATAGAGGGTTCCATTCGCTGGCAGTGTCATCATCGCACATTCGTTTTCAACCATTGCCTCCCAGGCTCCCACCGCCTGCATTTTCAACCCAACATCATACGGTTTGCGGCTCATCATCAATCAAAAGCAATTTCGCCCATCGCTTGGCTTTCAGTGATCGTGCCGAAGCGCCCGCTTTCTGTTCCCATCTTTCCTCCGACGTCATTACGCCGTGATCAATTAGAGAGGACCTTGTCAAACTCGTGACAGTATCAGGCAATTAGACGCCTTGCCAGGGATCTTCTATTTTCGTCCGCTGTTATTTTTCAGAACTAGCAAACAAGGCTGTGTGACTCTTGGACTTCATTTAAAAGAGCCTCAAGTACGGCGTTATTCACTGTCTCAAGTCCAAGTGCATCATCATGGTCAGAAGTCTCAGTGATGAGAGCGAACATGACGGCATCGGACGATGGTTTGACAACGATGACGAGTCAGTTCAATCGCCACAGCCAATTCCCATGGGAGAGGACCAGGACGCTAAGGAAATCCCTGTCAACGTCGGCTCACCGAAGGAGATGCTAGCCTTTCTGACCGATCTCCAACAAAAGACAGAAGAGGCTCGACTATTACAACCTGTCACAAATGTACCATCAGTGTCGTCTGTGCCTTCACTCAACCTATCGGATGAGACGATGAGCTGTAGTTGCAGCACGCGCTCCGTTCAAAACGGTACCGGTTTATCTGCTGATGACGAAAATGCAACTTCGAAACATCGCGGTCTTGCGATCGTAGAGTACTACGATGAAGATGCCCAAGATGCTGCTTCAGACTCTTCGTCAGACAGCTCTGGGAGTTTGTCTCCCGTCTCCTGCCTGTCACCAAGTAACACAAATATCACATCACCAGGCTCAGATGGGTCTGACCGGGATTCCATAGACTCATTTGACGAAATGCCTGGGAGCGCCTACGAGCCCCATCCAACCGAGACAGCTCTATGGCGCTTGCAAGGCTCTGGCTGGGACTACGAGAGTGACCCAGAGACAAACTATCCGGATCTGCACGAGCAAGCCCGTGATGCAGGCGACGATGATAACGGTGAAGCGAAGGAGTCCACGCGCCAGGAGGAGCCTACAGCCACTGAAGTTGGTTGTACAACGGCGACAGAAACCAGCGCTCTCATACAGCACAAGGACCAGCAACCTAAGCGTGCAGCTCAAGACGACGAGAACGAGCATCAACAAGTGTCACGGGCGAAAAAGCCTAAAAGGCAAGAGGACTCCCACCTCCGGCTGGCTTGCCCTTTCTACAAGCACGACCCGATTCAATATCGCCGCTGTCACTCCCACGTCCTCAAGCGCAATAGCTACGTCAAACAACATCTCTTCCGCAGTCATATGCAGCCCATACACTGCGACATATGTCTTAGCGTATGGCCGACTGCCGAAGAGCTTCGAGAGCATCGTCGTGCTCAAGTATGCGAGAGACGAGAGTACATTGCCCCCGATGGCATTACCCCCGAACAAGAACGTAAACTGCGATCGCGGCTTGGAGGCCCTAACAAATCAGAGAGTGATCAGTGGTTCGATATCTATAGTATTATTTTCCCAGATGACGAAAGACCAAAGTCAGCGTATTTGAACGGCGAATTGTCGGAGGATGCAGAGAGTCTTCGCGAGTTTATGGAAGGTCGCGGGACGAATTTGATAATGGAACAATTAATAATGTCGGGTCTTATTATGAGTGAAAATAATAGTAGCCGTGAGATGGAGGGGAAGTTTCAGAGAAGTGTACAGAACGCTCTCAGAACTATGTTTGAGGGATGGCAGAATCGGAGAGAGGGCGTTGTTGAAGATGACAGCGGTCGGCAGACCAAGAGGCTCAAACCAACGCCCAGAGAGTTTCCATACATCAAGGCTCAGACGCCGGTGAGGACTGACACTGGGAGTACGAATACCACTGAGACAATGCTGGAAGATCAAATTGAAGGGGAACAGATCGGGCCAACTATTTCATCCCCTCAACAAACAGGAGAGATTGTCCACGGACTTTGGAAGTCACCTTCCTAGCATTAACCATACGACGACATATGTCTTCCATATTTTTCATTTCGCGGTCTTAGAATACTTCTTTCTTATATGCTTCCTTCTCAAAACTTTACTATGAAATGACTATCACAGAACTCCATTTGCTCTACTTTCGTGTATGCCCCCCGTCGACCTTCAGGTCCTGAGATAGAGCCCCCATCTTCCTCAACTCTTCCACAGGCCGCTTGACAGCCGGGGCTACCAGGTTGACGTGATTCCCTGTGGTCTTTAGCTCATAGTTACCTTTTCCATAAATCTTGTCGAGGGCTTCCGAGAGCTTCAAAATATTCGGAATTTCGGTCATGGAAAACCGGTGTACGTGGTTCGTTCTGTTGATCTTGCGGGACGGTTTCATTGCGTAAAACTTGAGCGGTGGATCGATTCTGTAAATAGATGGATAGATTGCTAGTTAGCAGAAGGTTGGGATGTTTTGAGGATTAAATTTATGTTTAAGGTAGTCTTCTACGAGAATTTATACTGGGATCTTACACTTAATAAATGCTTGTACAACATTGCACACACTGGGCCTCTCCTTGAATGAAGCTTCCAGAATTCGTATCAAAGTGTCTTCGAATTCTATAAATGCGGCTATCGTAAGCTTTTGTTGTGAACTTGGAGCGTCACCTGGTTCATTTTCTTGGGTCATTGGTTCTAAGACTGCAAATATTGCACATCGACTGCAGTTAAATGGCTGCTACGCCGGTGAATCACTGAGAATTGCTTCAATAGATCTAGGTACCAGATACATGTATTGAGACGATTAGTGTCATCTTGTCAGTGCTGTAAAATAACAATCAGTGTAGGATAAAACCACATTACTCCGGCTTGCGTCCAATAGTCCAGCGAACCTCATATCCCATCACCGAAACACCGTCATCAACCTCTTGTTGTAAAATGTCGCAATGTTTTTCCACATCTTCATGAGATTGAATCCATTCAAACTCCCCTTTGGCAGCGATACCATTCAAAGCCTGTCGTGCATAGTTGACGAGCGTATCTCCAGCTCTCTTCTGAACTTCAGGCCCCTCACTGAAGCTACTGAAGTCAATGTGTGAGCATTCGACGAAACCAGCCTTCCTGAAGTGCCCCTCGAGTGGCATTGGGCTACTGTTGGAGGTCAGCGGATCCTTGATGACGACTAGAGAGAATGCTTACGTGACATCGCGTCCGACTGATAGCCCGTACCGAACATCCGTACCGATCCATTTCTGGTATGCTTCAGTGATTGGCACAGCATTAAATTTGGTGAATCCTGTCTCATCCCACAAGATGTAACCTCCTGGTCGCAGAAGTGATTGAAGGTTCTTTGCTACTGGCACCCAATCTCCGGCTTTTAGGGCGACCATCAGAAGTCGAACGTGAACCAAGTCATACTTCCCCACGAGATTCTCGGGGATCGGTTCGAAGACATTTCCGAATGATAAGTTGACATTTGATGGAAGCTTAGCGGGTGAGAAGAACTTCGAATCATCTATGTCAAACCCATCGAGACGAGCGTCTTGGTGGACTTCTGGTGCGAAGTCTTGTAGCCAGACCCCAGTACCAGTTCCAACATCGGCTACCGCGGGTGGACGCCCAAGAGAGTTGAGATATGACTTGATGTTCTCAGGGATCAAAGTCTTCGTAAGATGCAGCCAAGTGATGTGCTGATAGTCCAGGCGATGCTCCTCAACGCCCTTCTTGCCGCTGTTGAGGGTATAAATCTGGGGCCCAGTCATTTCGGTATATGTGCTTGAATCTATTCGACCAATTTGAGGACAGATTATAGAGCGAAAAGGTAACGAGGACACCCGTCCCAACTTATAGTGAGAGACATGACTAGACTTACGCTTCAGCGCTTCAAATATCTTACTATAACCGTGAAGTGGTGCCGTTAGCCGATTGATGATGTTAGACTATGGATATGATTGGTTCACCCGATCTACCAAGCATTCTGATGATAAACCAGACGTGACAGCATGAGCGAATCTTACTCAGCGCCACGACCAGACGCGGTAAAGCGCCCATGATATGGCGTATTTCTTTCATCCCGAGACAAAAGTGCTCGTAAGAGCCTTTTCTAGACTTATTATCCCGTTGCCGTTGGTTTTTGATTGACCTGATCGCCAAACTCTTGCCGGATTTGAGAGTCGGGGCTATTACTAAACCCCGGCTTACGTGCGACGAGCTTTGGGGTATCTGATGCGATAGCAATGGATCATCGTCACATCAAAACTCCAGGCTAGATAGATGACGGTGATTCTCATCTCATCCAATTCTGGACAATTGAGGCTGAGATTATGTTTCATACAGACACCAGTAGCTAGTTTTGATACTCAGTTGAGAGTGAGATTGGTAATTACCGTCAAGCTGCATGTCTCTCTAAGGGGACTGCTACGACTCATTCAAAATAATATAATTGGGGCTTTGACGTCTTTCCTCACGCGCGTAGTGATATCAAGGGTTGATCTCAGCACAAATAATGGGCTGGCCTGAGCGAGCGCCATCTTGTAAACCAGGTATCAAAAGTCTTTGTCGAGTACTGCTACCGCGGGAGCACACACAGATCTTTAGGAAGTACAGTGGAGGCTTTCAATAATCTGGACCTGCCCCAGAATATGGACTACACCTCATAGCCGTTCCGAAAAAGCCTATGCCGTTGTTAATGTGCCAAGGTGGGCTGGACACCATGACGTTAGAGTCTTGACATTGGGTGTTGAGATAAGGCGACAATCTTTAAATGCTAGCCATTTAAATTCTAAGAATGAAAATTTACAGAATATGGCGCAGCCTTACTTCCCAAGTGTGAGGCTGAGGTGACAGGTCCCGCTGCTATCCATCCAGCCTCTAAAAGAGTTGAGGATGATAAGCTGCTAAGGCAAAAGGATCGCGACTAAGCCAGCGTCACTGCAGCTCCAAGCTTTCTTTGCATTGAATAGAGAACAATCATATTCGAGACAGCTTCAGAGTCGGCGCTGTGCTAGTGATGCGTCGCTGAAAACCTGGTTCGCCAATACTTCGTCATTGCATCAAGCATTGCGCTTCATGATTCATCGCAAAACATCGTTTAGGTGAGAGGAAGACTTTCTATAAGACGATGGTTATGCACCCTCAAAGCAACAATCTCGAAGCATTTTCACACCAAGACACTCACAGCCAACACCTGCAAGCTCTACCGGCGCTCGCAACTCTTCACTCACCGACCCCGGACTCGTCAATTTTGCTCCCAAGTTCACACCGCAACAATGCCTTCCATTACCAACATGGTCACAGCGCTGGTCTATGTCGCTTCTGCTGCAAGTACCCTTCCCGTTAATGTCGCTCGCCAACAGACCACTGAATGCGCGACTGGTACGTGGTACTACTCTTGTGACACAAATGTCGGCTGTTTCGACCACGATCCTTGTACCAAACCCACTGCTGCTTCTGGTAGAACCCTCGAAAAGGCCAAGGACAAGCCTCCTGCTACAACTTCGGTCAAGACCATCGTCCCTGCCACGTTGTACGACATTTACCCTGAGAATCCCGATGAATCTAGTGGCCTAGTCAACGGCGTGCATCTCGAGACCTGGAAGGATAAGTCTCAGGTTGAGCAAGTGATCGTCTTCAAGAACATCCCCGCGGACGCACAGAACTGCAATCTGTCTTGGCGTCAAGGCCCTCGCTACTCTCGAAGATTCCTCGTCAAGAACAGCGATGCACAAGCTGATGCACGACCTCTATCTGGTTTCCCCGAGAACAGTGTAACATACAACTCCGTCAAGCCCTTTGACGGTCAGAAATCTATCGGCGGCCCCAACTTCTCTTTCTGGGACGACCGCAAGGAAGACGTGCATCTTGTTGGGGGTGTAGACTGTGCTGAGACTGTTTCCTTCATCGTTGGACTCCGAAATGCCAAGGGCGATTCCCAGGTCTACCTTGAGCAAGATGAACATGAGAACGGCTGGACTCTTACTTATCATTAACTAATCAAAGTGGCGCAGAAGTGATTCATCGTTCATAATGTACCCTTGTTGTTCAGTGTCATCGTCCTCTAGATAGATACTTTAATGGATTGGTTGTAAATTACTGTTCTGTGATTAATTTTAAGAACCTCCTTGCATGCTTTGATCATTCCTTCTCTGCGCAATTACCAACTAGCAACCGCCATGTCATGTTTGTCACGAGGAGCAAAATGGTTGGACCACCAAGTGGGTTGTGTTTCTCATTTGCCTCGATTCCTACTTCTCTCATGAATGAATACAACGTGTCGTCGGCCATGTTGTGCCACCCTTCGCAGGCAAGCAACCACTTCTCGGGTTCTCGTTAAGGCCTCGAATCTACTGATGTTCGTAATGCCGCAAAGATTACCACAAATGGAAGTTCTAGCGCCCTGGATGTCAGTTCAGTCATCAAATGGTTTTGAAGGGCCGGGAAGAACATTAGACACTGGCCAGTTTCAGCCTACGGTTTCCAGCCTTTTTGTACACTTTTCTTATTACCCCTATTTCCAACTCATGGTCATAGCCTATTTTGTCAAAGCCATCATTGTATCCAATATTGGCAAATATGAGTACTGGGATCGAGATTGTCGGCACAGTTGCCGCGCTGTACCAGCTCATCAATGCTTCAGCTGGGCTCATATCTGAGATTAAGGCTGTTTATAATGGGGAACCCACCGCTGATAACCATTTGGAAGAGCATGTCAAAAACCTGAAACAAGCTTGTGCCTTGGCAAAAGCTCGCTATCAGACAGGGGACTCATTTGAAAAGCTGTCTGATGGCGAAAGACGGGTTCGCAAGACTGCAGACAAATGTCAGGCTTCTGCCCAAGTACTGTTAGACGAGTTGCGCTACGTGAGGAAAGAGCAGAAAAGCAACGACTGCATGGCAGCCGTCGCTTATGTGGTTAAGTCAAAGGTGCACCGCAAGAAGATCGAACGGATGGATGCTAGATTTAAGAACAACCAGCAGGAGTTGCAGACAATTTTGCAATCTGAGATTCTGTATGTAGAATGGTCCTCATATTATTCATTACTGACTATTGCCTAGTTCACAAAATATGGCTATGCAGGATCTCCAGATAGAGGGATTCGAGAATCTGGAGGACGACATACAGATTCTGGTCACCCAGATGTCTCAAGGCTTTTTCGACCTGGAAAGATTTATCAAAGCTCAGCATGAGGCAACAAACAAACTCATCGAAACCCGGCTTAATGCAACAGACAATCTCATCGTTCAGGGAGGTGCCCAAGTACAACAAGTAATCAAAGACTTAACTACTGAATCTCAACGCAAAGAATTTCTCGAGAGCTTCAGATATCCTGAGATAAACAAGCGGTTAAACGACGTGTTGGATTCCAGTGAGGCTTGCTTCGATCGAGTCTTCGCATCTTATGAAAGTATTACAAGGAGCGACAATACATCAATGCTGTCAGAAGGTGATAGCGGCCATTTCAGTTCTGAAGTTAGCGAAGGTAGCCGAAGAGACAGCGACCTATCCGATATCGAGGCTGACGAGTTAAGAAGTATCGGCCGATCCTGGTCGAACTTCATTGAATGGCTGCGATCAAGCGATTCGTTATTTTGTGTCCGTGGAAAGCCTGGGTCGGGTAAAAGTACCTTGATGAAATTTGTGATCGATAACAAAAACACTCGACGACTCCTGGAGCACCAAGGTTCTGAAGTCATCATTATGACTCATTTCTTTTGGAAGATTGGAAGCGAAGTACAAAATAGCATCAAAGGCTTGTTATACTCGTTAGTTTACCAGCTGTTGCTCCGCGCTGAGAACCTACAGGAACTCGCCATGAGCCGCCATGACAGTGGTCCATATAGGAGTCATCATGATTGGTCTTCTAGAGCTCTCAAGGGCTTTCTTCAGCAGCTTCTGGAAACCGAAAGTCGTACTCTTTGCGTCTTTATAGATGGTCTAGATGAAGTCTCGAATGCCGATGGTCTCCATAGACTTACACAGGAGATTGAAGAAATCTTGAAGTTTCCTGGAATCAAGATTTGTGTTTCTAGTCGGCCGGAAGCATTGATCATAAAATGGCTTGAGAAGCTAAACTGCCCCAGCATTCTTCTCGAGGATCTCACCAGACCTGAGATGAAAAACTATGTCCACAGAGACCTAGATCCCTTCCTTTCGTCTGGGCAACTCTCCTTTGAAACGCATCCGTACTTATCTGATGAAATGGTGCGAAAGTCACAGGGAGTGTTTCTATGGCTGTCCTTGGTTTTGAAAAGTCTCATAGGCGGTATACACAATGGAGACTCTGAGCAGATACTGATAGAGCGATTGGCAGAGTTGCCTAGCGAGATGCACGATCTTTATGCTGACATTTGGGACCGCTTATGTCAAAATAGCCAGGTGTACCGAAGAGACGCAGTTCGGTTCTTTCAGTATGCTCTTGCAGAACGGCGGCAAACAGTATACTTTCGCCCTGGGGTTGCCAATGAGCTCCAAAGCTTTTTCTTCTGGCAACCTGTCTTGGGACAGATCGCATTGGCAGGGATGCCTGATGCCCATGATACCTTTCTGAAGTGTAAGGGAAGCATAGATTTCATGAAATTGCAGCAGATTTGCGATTCAACGAAAACTCAGATTGAAATCAAGTGCGGTGGCCTACTACAGATTCGGAAGTCGGAGATACCTAAAGGCTATAACACGTTCCTTACACATCATATTGATTTCATTCATCGTACGGCTCACGACTTCTTTACCGAGACAGAGGCCGGGAAATGGATCATCGAGAAGAATTCAACTTTGCAACCCTCAGAGGTCGCGGTCTGCGCCGCCAAAGGCATGCTATGTCTTCACCGCATCATGAGTTACCAACACAGTTTGGTCGCCCATGGGGACCAAATTATCGGCCAAATTGGTCACTTGGTCAAATATCGAAAGATCCTTGACCTCCCTCGAGCAATTGAAATGCTTCATGTCATGCAAGACTTTTACGTGAAAAACGTGATTTCAGACATAAATTGGAACAGAGAGACTTGGGAACCAAAGCGCCACTTCCTGACATGTTTAACTCGATCAACCGCTTTCCACGATTTCATCCTATCCGAGATTGGTAGGGCATCATCAGTCAAACTAGCTACTCGGATTCTACAGGAATTGTCTTGCCAAAAGGAAGATTGCACGCTGAAGCGTGTCAGACTTGTCGGTCCTCTCATATCACTGGGTGCTGATGCACATGCTTGCGCAATATACCTACGCCCGGTACTGGACCGAAAGAGCTATCAAGAACCGTTGGCCAGAAGAGGCACTGCATTCACGAACATTCTGAAACTGTGCATAATGGCCACCTTCAATCAGTTGAATGACGATATTGTGCTCGCCACGCTAGTATCAGAGGCGATCGTATCCATGGCAGCGACGTGCCAGAACCTAAATGATGCGACATTGCTGATTTTCCAAGTTTGGGAGACCGGCAGAATAACGTTGGAAGATCTTATATACATTTCCCAAGAAACATATTCTGGGACAAAATGTGTCGTTGTCTTCGTAGAAGCCACGCTGAGCTTTCTCCTTGCGCACATGTTTTCTAAACTGAAGCCCTTCCTAAAACAAATCACCACTCTCAAAGATCTCTCTCAGAGCCCTGACCCAAAAGTCCGATTCATATTTACGCAAGATGGACAGCTGGATGAATGGACATGCAAGCGGATCTCGTCTCAGAAACGCTGTAAGGAACTGGTGGACTTCCTGTTTGTGCAAGGTGGTTCTCAGTCGCTGGCCAGTGCATTCATGGAAAAGAGTGCAAAGGAGACTAGGGAACCCTTTCATCACGTAACATCTCTGACAAAGGATTTGGATTGGATCCCATATGATATTGAGTCGGCAATGCTGTCTCTTTCAGCCGAAAAGCTGGACTTTTGCACTTTCCAAGAAGCGGGTATCATGCCCTCACCAAGCAGGGTACAGGAATGGCAAAAGACGAGATCTTGCGTGTATCCCAATATCATCCGCGATCTGAGCGCCTTGGTAAAGGAATAAATACACTAATAAGAAACCCTGTCCCGATACCTGACTACATGCTTTCTTATTTAAACTGTTCCTCAATGTGCTCTAACATTGAAGAATCTTCACCCCGAATTCAGTGGGACCCTTTTCTCTTCTGGATATCTTCTTCTGGTTTCCTCGTACACATTGTATTCTAAGGTCCAACTACAAGCCTTCGGAAAGCTAACTGTATGTGTTCCACAGTCATAGCCAAATTGACTTGTCTTCAGGTCATTGCACTGATTATACGCAACGGTGTGCGAGAAGAGCCTTACCAGCTTCAGTCATCTACGGCCAGACCCAGTACCACAATCAGGCTGATCGCACCACAAAACGTGTTTCGTCCTGTCCGTGAAAACAGGATTACCGGCATCCCCATATCGTAGTCTCCGGAGTCATTCGAAACTCAATGGATCTAAATATCTCCATCGGTTGCTGATGTGTAAACCAAAGCAATTCTCTTGTAACAAATCTGTCTTCCTCCAACACCTCCCAGACATGTTGTGTGGGCGTTCCCAGACGTACGTTATGTTACACTCTAGGCATTCGCAACAAGGACTGACGCAGCCATCGTGTTTCACTGGAATGGACTTGTGAACATAGGCACAGCAGCAAAGAGTGCATTCCAAGCTGTCCAGCAAGCGTTCCATCACGGCTGAAGAATGTGGACAGAGATGACCACAGTCTTGGAGAATACCTTCGATCGTATTTCGGGTCCTTGAATTCCTTCCGCTTGGTCCTCTGACTTCAAAGGTTAATGAAGCTGCCGTCACGATCTTGCCCGGATAATTGTGAACATCAATTTCGATTAACTACGGCTTGACTGCAGTGAAACGAGGTCAGGATCCGCATCACTCGTGTCGAAAGAAGTATGTGATTTGTCTATGTAGCGATCGTAGATGGGGTACTGGGTCCAAAGGTTGGAGAGCCTCCTTTGAAACCTGAGCCGCCGATGAGAGCATACATCTGAATGGCCGAGCAACCCAACACATTTGTTTCTTTTCCTACCGTTTGCGGGAAAGAAGATTCCAGTATGGTCCTTCTTACAGCCGGTGCACCTCCTCGGCTCGCATAAGGATATCAGCCATTCCCGTAGTTCCTTTGTACTTAGGGCACGGCACTCATTGCATAGAGTTTGGCGGCGTATAGATGCATATATCTCGCGACTGTCTCGAACGATGGCCGTCACTGTTCTGTGCCAACGGCTCAGGGTCTGAAATTTGCCAAAGACAGGATCGTTGTCTATATATTGGCGAAATCCTCGTGACGTTTGGCGGAGAATATACAGCAAACTGTGAGGAAGAAATCTAAGGACGGCGTCGAATATTTCATTGGGTATTTGGACTTCATTCGTCTTTTTTGATAAGATTACCATCTCTCGGGGTGTGCCCTCATTGTCCAATGCCGCGCTCGACGATGAGCTGACAACAGCACGGCACCTGCATCCTGTACTGCCCTGTTCGTACCAGCAAAGATAGTACCAGCAAAGATAGTGAGCAATAGTGTGAGCCCCCTCCATAGTGCATCGGAACCATCGCGTCATTCTCGGAATCCATTCATAGCGACGCCCAGGTTTCCCGATCTGGGCATGGCACTCTGAAAAGCGCGCCATATCGTATGATCAGTAGTGTTAAAAATGCCTCGGAACAAATTCGGTTAAGCCAAAGGAAGAAGAGGTATCGAAAACGGTATTGTTAAATAGTCCAACCTCCCTATAAGAGACAGGTGTGAGGATACATCGAAGGCAAAAGTATTTTCCACTCATATCAAACTGTGATTGGTACCTTTTCTGCTAAACCCTAATGTGCAAGGTTCATATCATGCAAGTTTTACGAGATCAAGTCTAATATTACACAGCTGTGTCATATCTGCTTGTGCATAACTCTAACACAGATATCGTTGTGATCCGTGACAAGCGTGAGGTTTTGCGAGAGGCTTCAACCTCAGTAGCACAACATTCGCACTGATTTATATGAGGAGCTGCATAGAGCCTTGTAGTCAAACTAAATTACGGGCAGAGTGGCCAGGAGAACGGACGGCACACAGTGCTTACATTCGAAATCAGATGCGTTGGTGGAGAGCTTACATCACCACAGACCTTAGCTCCCTTCCAAACCATGTTGGCCAGGCTGCTCTATTTAAGACATAAGAATTTCGGGATTTGCTTATGAAGTCACGTCGCTGCATTGTAGGAGCATCTAACATATCATCAGATACTTTAAGATAGAGCTGACTGGAGATTTCAGTGATTGATCATTCATATATAGGTGTCACAAGGAACTCCGACGAGTAGACTGAGGCTATAATATTGGCTATGCTTTACCTAAATGTGACCTGTTGCCCACATAAGACCTCCCGGCCTGCATAAGAATAGCGCTACAGCTCTCTCATTTTATATTGTGTTTTACCAAGCGAATGAGAGTTTCAAGTATGACAAACAAAGACAAACTAAGTGAGTGACGTGCGGAAAGTTGTCCAAGGCCCGCATTGTAGCCTGTACAATTGGGAGGCCAGATTACCTAAAGGTATTGCTTTGAGGCCGCTCAGTGTGACGTTTCCAGATCGCGGCAACAGGTCCAGCATTCGCCCTGTATTTTAAGGTCAGCTATTATCACATTCGGGTCAATAAGGTGGTCTAACTTGGTGAGAGGAATACTTTCTCTTAATTAGCGCAAGCCAACAGTTAAAGGTGGTGTAGATCGACTTACCCACTCGTCTGGGCACTGAATCTCCTCAGAAGCGCATAGGAGCCAGCAGACATTCTCCTTCTTAGTGTGGGGCATGTCCCTGTGCATAGGTATCTGCGAAAGCTTGATAGAAAGACTATGACTACGTGTCAGAAAGAAACATTGCTATCTTATAGACCGAAATGGGCTAAGCATTGGAGTAGAAGACATGATGGGGTAGTTTGAGGTGGAGATACTAACGATATATCCTGATCAGGCACCAGAGCCTTGGACTGGCTCTGCTTGATCTGCCCCAGCAGGGACGGGATAGCGACAATGCCTTGGGCAAGGGTGAGAAGAGCGACGGCTGAGTACTTCATGATGAATCAAAGATTGATAATATTATGGATTGGGTGTTCGGCTTTGTTGGAGGCGATGTGTTTTGAATGGGCACTAGGGATGCAGCTCTCGTCTTTATAGGCGATGAGAGTCCTTCTTACTAGATCAAAACTTTCGTTTCAAAGATACGAACTAAATGTGTCTTAGGTATCATCGTTGTCTGAGGCACAGTGTATCCATCGGTCATGCTCTGTGAAACCCCCCGAGAGCCGTGTTGGTACTATATGAGAGAGACATGGCAATCATTCATTGGATTGATCTTCCGGCGTGTCACAGAGACAACTCCTGCATCTGCTTTGACCCCGCCCAAGTACACTCGGCAGGTCGCCATCGGAACATCGTTCTTGGAACTCGGATCAACACGCTCGAACCGATTACCATAGTCAAGGTCAATAGTTGCCATCGGCTATTATTATTGTTACTAAATCCAAGACTTTGATTGTCCTGTCTAAGCGAGTTCAACTTGGTCGACCTTCTTATCCTTCTTGCCATCCTGATCCATTCTACCATGTTCAATATCATCCAGCTTACCAGCATGAAGAGCTCCATGAGATGTTCCTTCAAAGATGGCTTGGATTTCCTCCAGAGTATGACCCTTTGTCTCGGGGAAAAGGAACCAGATAACGACAATGAGACAGGCAAGAATGCAGCAGAAGACAATGTAGTACTTCCAACCGATGTTCTTCATGGCGATTGGGTTGACCTGGTTTCCAACAACGAGACCGACGAATGTGCTGACGTACATGACGGAGACACCGCGGCTGCGAAGGGTGTACGGGAAGATCTCAACGGTATACGCTTGGAGAAGAGGGGCCCAGGCAATGGCGTAGAAGAAAAAGGTGATGAACACAAAGCCCACGATGGCCTTTCCGGTAGTTGGGCTTCGAGTACTGTCAAACGAAGCACTGAGGGCGGTCCAGATAATGTACGACACGAACATTCCACAAGTCGAAAGGAGGAACAGGGTGCGACGTCCGAGTCTGTCGACTAACATAGCACCAACAAAGATTGCAGCAAGCCAGTTTGAGATCTGCAAAAGACCATTGATGAGAGTCTGTTCCTTGGCAGCTGTGATACCGATCGTGTTGAGAACAAGAACAAGGTAGTAGCTACAAGCGACGTTAGACAGATACTTAAACGCGGGGTCGAGGTGGGACAACATACCTGACGAGGTTGATACCGTTCCACTGAGCGAACCACCCGACGATAACGGCAATTAGCGTTCTCTTTCTGTTCGCGGGAGTTCTGACGAGTTCGAGCCAAGAGTTCTGTGACATGGCATCGGCTTCGTGCGTCAAAGCACCCTCAATCTCCGCCATCTCGAAGTTGACAAGTGGAGCGTTTGCGTCACCGCCGGCGTGATACGTGGCGAGGATCTTGCGGGCCTCTTCGCGTCGGCCGTGGGCGACGAGCCATCGGGGAGACTCGGGGAGGAAGTAAACGGCGAGGAGCTGGATGAAGGGGAGGGCTCCCTGGAGAAGAGACGGGATTCTCCAGCTCCATGTCGAGTCGATCTTGAAGGTTCCGTATGTGCACCAGGCGGCGATGATACCTCCGAGGTACTGTCAAGTCAGTGGATGTCTTTGGGTATGAAGAGTGGGTACTTACGAAGGATGTGTTGTACAGAGCGGTAAGCTTGCCTCGATGCGTGGGATAGGCAAGCTCGGTGATGAGGATTGGACTAGGCTGAGCCAAGAAACTTGTGAAGAAACCAAGGATAGCTCTCGCCGCAATGAAAGTCTCCAAGTTCTGTGACACAGCTTGCATGATGGCGAAAGCGACACAAGTCAAGGCTCCGACCATCATGGCTGTCTTTCTACCGAATCGATCGCATACGTAGGTGACGAAGAAAAGGGCAATGACCTTTCCGGCTGGGTATACGGAGTTGAGAGCACCGAGCATGGCGCCTTCGGGCTGTCCAAAGTAGCCTCTCCATTGAGGGAGGGTCTGAAGGCCGTTCATCATCGATCCTGTGCATGTTAGTAAGGAGGGTGGCGTTGTCGCGTACTGAACATACCATCATAACCAATTGCGCCTGATGACACGAGAGGAATAAGAAGGAGAAGGTTGAGCTTCAGGAGATGCGGTACGCGATACCAAGGTCGAGCATCATCGGGGAGAACCTGGCGAAAACATTAACACCCAATGCCCATCACTCGCATCTCAGGGAGTAAACTCACTGCTGCAAGGTCATTGCCGGCAGCCGCGGCAGCACCTTTTTTCTCTGCTGGTAAGGAACCCATGACTCTTGGATATGATCGATGTCTTGTCAGAAGTCCCAACGTCAATCAGCAACTGATGATGAATGTTCAGAAACCCAAAACACCAGGGTCATTTAGGTTAATTATATCTGAGCCTACCAAAACAGAAAAGGATTATGCAGATCCAATGCTACCCCACGCGGTGGTAAACTGACACCCCATGGGGAAACTTGGAGCGTTCTTTGACGCTTGAAGAGATTGACAACTTGTTTGATGGGGTCTTGGCTTGGACGCGTTCGGTCTGGATCCGACGCTATTCCCAGCTGTTCCGAGACTTCGGACCGGGCTATCATTGGTCCATCGTCGTCTCTTCCGAAGCAGCGCTCAGCCGATTGGGCACCATCTCGCTCATGACTCGAGCCTTGACCAGTTTTCTAGTCTCCGTTGTCGCCTTGCCGAAGCTCGTCAAAGTCTGGTGGATGCTTTACTACCAGTTGGACCAGTCCCAAGCTGGAGATATTCCCCCTCGAAACCTCCACAAAATTAGCGACACAGTTCCCCGACGTTGACCCGCACGCAGTCAGAGAGAAGTGATCCGGGCTTGCTTATTACTCGCGAGTATCAGCATCCGTCCCTGCCCCAGTAGTTTCGAGGCATACAACGGCAAAATGGCAAACACGGATATTGATGCGATCATACAGTCACTGACACTGGAGGAGAAGGTACGCTACACTGTCAGCCGTCTGAAGTCAGATTAAGCTAATTCTTATCAGATTTCCCTCTTAGCTGGTAGGAACTTCTCAGAAACCGTTGGCTATCCAGAAAAGGGAGTTCCTTCGATCAAGGTGAGCTCGATCTCTTGTCTCGTCCAACTATTTACTAACAGAATCAAGACTGCCGATGGACCAAATGGAATTCGCTCAGCAGCAACAGATCTCGATATCAAGTCGGCCTGTTTCCCAGCAGCATGCAATCTCGCAGCCACATTCGACCTAGACCTTGCCGAGAAATTTGGCAAGGCTCTAGGTGCTGAAGCGAGAGGCAAGCGAGTAAATTGCATGCTCGGTCCAACAGTCTGCATGCATCGCCATCCTCTTGGTGGTCGTAATTTTGAGAGCTACAGTGAAGACCCATTTCTCACCGGTAAAATGTCTTCAAAGGTCATACAAGGACTCCAAAGTCTGGGTATTTCTGCTACGATAAAGCATTTCGTGGCCAATGAGCAAGAAACAGCACGTACGACTGTTGATGAGACCATTGATGAACGGGCATTGCGCGAGATTTACCTCAGGCCGTTCGAGATTGCTGTGAAGGAAGCGAATCCTTGGGCGATTATGACAGCTTAC